TGTATAATATGTCTTTATTAGGTTGTTTTGATTTACTTTTGGATTCTGAAAAGGCTAAGGATGGTATAGAAATACCAATGGATAATGGTTACATGGGTATGGGTGCTGGTGGTATGTTTATGGCTGCTGGAACACCATCAATGTCTCCTGCTATGACACCCTGGGATCAAACTTCCACACCAGTTTATCAAAATAGCTGGTCGTCAAGTAAGAGTGACACTTAAACACTTAAAACTAATTATTTTTCTTCTATTAATTCCATTAACCTTTAAATTATTTACAGGTTTAGAAGCTGGTATGACTCCTGGTGGACCAGGATTCTCTCCAGCTGGATCAAGTGAAGCTAGTGGAACATCTCCATTCTGGATGACAAGTGGAGGAACCCCGGGTAGTCCCGGATCTCCAGGCATGGCCACTAGTCCATATGTGCCTAGTCCTAGTTCGATGTCACCCAACTACAATTATCCATCAAGCCCACAATTTGGTTCTATGTCACCATCTATGACTCCTACTAATTATTCACCAACAAGTCCACAATATTCGGCCACACAACAAAATACTCCAAAATACTCTTCTATGTCGCCTAACTACAACTATTCTCCAACCAGTCCATCATATTCGCCTACAAGTCCATCCTACTCTCATACTTCATATTCACCAACAAGTCCATCGTATGTATTTAAAAATTATTTACAAATTAAAAGTTATAATTTTTCTCTTTCTTTTAGGTATAGCCCAACATCTCCATCGTATAGCCCAACATCGCCTTCGTATAGCCCAACATCTCCATCATACAGTCCTACTTCTCCATCATACAGCCCTACATCTCCCTCGTAAGTCAATTAAAATTAAGTTTATTGTAACAACTAACAACGCTTATTTTTATTACTTCATTCTGAAATCTGTACTTGTACTAATATACTCTGTATGTAAACACACAAAAGCTTAAAATAATTTATAATAAACTTTATTTTATTTCAGATACAGCCCTACCAGTCCTTCATACAGTCCCACGTCACCGTCGTATAGTCCAACATCTCCATCGTATAGTCCAACTTCTCCATCGTAAGTAATCTTTTTATAGTCAAATTCTAAATATTAAAAATAATTTATAAAAAGCACCCAAAATCTATGAATATTTAATTTTAATTTTAATCATTAATTATATATCGTGGTTTTTATTATTTTATAATAATTGTAGTTACTTTGTGTCAATAACTAAAATGTAATTTACTTTAATAGGTATAGCCCTACATCGCCATCTTATAGCCCAACTTCGCCATCATATAGCCCAAGCTCACCACAATATACAGCATCTTCACCTTCCTATACTCCTAGTGCTACATCGGGTGCCAGCAATTACAAATATTCACCCACGTCGCCTTCACTTGCTGTTAGTCCAACATACTCTCCAACCAGTCCAATGTATTCGCCATCAAATGCGTCATACTCTCCATCTTCTGTGCAACATACACCAAATGCTGGAGTTACACAGTACAACCAGTCTTACAGCCCCAGTTCTCCAGTTTACTCGCCTACTAACTTCTCATTAGCAAGTCCCAGGTAAGATAAGTATCGACAATAATACATTTTTAATAACACTTTTAAGTTTTAACTCTATTTTCATATGTCGTATAATTTATTAAAAAAAACCAATTTTATTTTAGGTACTCTCCCACATCACCAACATATTCACCCGGTGTTGGGAGTCCAAATTATTCTCCATCTTCACCCAGCTATTCTCCAACATCTCCAAATTATAGTGGACCCGAAGAACAATAAATCAAAATACAGTTTTTGTAAACAAACTTTATATTTTTGAATTATTTACCTAAAACAGATTTTTTTAGCTTCAAAGTATTTTAAGTAGCTAGATCCTAAATTAGAAGACTAATTATTTCTATATTAAAAAATGAATTTCTTTTAATATTATATTATTGACATTGTAAATACAAACATCCGAGTTATTAATTCTTACCTTTAATCTATTTTAAATCCTGTGTTACAACCATGGATAAATAGAATAGGTAGGTACTTTTATTATGTTTAATACAAGCGCCTTTACTGCGAGTAGTTATAAATTAAAACCCTAATTTGTCAAGGAACTGATTATATTTTTTATAAAAGGTTAAGATAATAACTTTAAGATCACTATTATAGCTGATATATTATTATTAATACTTTTTATGAATACAATGTTTATTTTAATATAATGTTTACAAAAATAAAATAATAATACATAAAAAAAATAATATGTTACACTTAAAATAATTGTAGGTAACGTCCACATGTGCCTTAAAATTAACTTTAACAATTAACTATGATCATTATAATAATTTATAATACTGTTTATATCTATACATACCGCCTACTTGATAGGTTCGATATTATTTTTAAGTTTTACTTTTGAGCAATTTGAAAAACAATAATGACTACGAGCACATAAGTCGGTCACAAAAAAACCACCCCTCATCTATTGTTTGATTCATTTAAAATATTATATTATAATATTTAATTCTCGTTGTGCAATAATAATATTATGCCCACGAGAAATCACTGGCAACGTTAATTTATATTTACACGAAACACAAAACCGTCGTGTTTTGTAAAAAAATCCACGGCGTTCGGCGCGGAGTCGTATTAGGAAATACCGAAAGCGTTGAATCGCACACGGGCACGTTATGGCCGCCCGAGTCAGGTTATAATGATTATCGGCCGTCGTTTCTGTACTGTCGTTCGTCGCGATGATAGCCGGGTCCGGCCGGCCGACCGTTGTAGTAACCGTCGGCGCCGCCACCGGAATGCCGTTGACCGTAACCGGTGCCGTTATTGGCGGCCGGCGGCCCGTAACCGGCTGGCCTGGCTGGCGTCATCGGTATCGAGTGGCCTGTGGCCTTCCGCCAGCCGTCCAGGTACTTGCGGCGCTGCGCCTCGTCTTCCGCCGCCTCCCTCAACCGGCGCCTCTGCGACCTCGACGAACTGCTCTCACTCGAGTCCTCCGACGTGCCCAGGCCCATGTCCTTGTCCGGCCTCGGGTTGGTGGCGTACGGCTTGTTGGCAGACGCACCACCGCGGTACCGCCTGTCCACTTCGCCAAAGTCAGGCTGCAGCAGCGACGGATGCGGTATGCAGTACGGTCCGCGAGCGACGCCGTTGTTGTTGTTGCCACCGGCAAGCTGCGCCACCGACTTGCTGCAGTCGTCCACCGCCGTGGACGGGCGGCGGGCTTTCCGCGACCCCACCGCCGCACGCGCCCGGGCCGAACAGCGACAGGAGCACGGGCAACAGGATCATGCCGTGCAGGGCGCCGAACACAATCACCAGGAAGATCATCTTGAAGAACACCATGAATATGTAGCTGCCGGCCAGTATCAGGGCCGACACGCCTAGCACAGTGCTGATCGCTCCCTGCATGATCGGCAGCCCCAGCGCGTACAGGCTTTCCCGGACCCGATCAGCGGGCCTCGTCGCCCCGGACGACATGTACGCGTAGCATATGTGCGCTGTGAAGTCCACGGAGAACCCGATGCACATGATCAGGTTCACCATGGATATCGTGTCCAGGTTGACGCCCCATAGGGCCATGTAGCCGACCACGCCAAGCTCGATGGACACGATGGAGAAGGCCACCACAGGGAGCACAGCACATTCGGTATGAACAGGAAAGAGATCAGCATCATCGTAGCCCCGCCCACCACCATAGACTGGATCGACGTGGGCCTAACGAGTTCAAACTGCGCGGGACGCAGACAAAAAAAAAAAATCATTACCCATGTTGGTATGGACAGGTACATAGGTGGTGTTTTGGAAAACTTTTTATATAATATTGATTTTTTTTCTTGATAGTTGTTAATTATTATTGTTATTATTTCAACTAGGTAGGTAGTTATGTATAGTTAGTATTGCTATTGCTTCCGAATCCCGTTTAAAATAATAACAAATCCCACCGAAAACAATATAAAATTGACAACAAATGCTAGGGCACACCGACGCACATAACGCCAAACAAATCTGATTGTTTTAGTCTTTAAGTAGGTACGTTCGATTTTAAGAAAAAATATTGCTTCGGTGCAACGTTTCCATTGGCGTAATCATTTAATGAGTTATGGAAAATTGGAAAATTTATTTACAATCCTGGTTAGTCATAATAATTGTGTGAAGCGAAGAAATTTTACACGTTTGGTTATGGGTATTGTCTCGAGGGAAAACAATTATGATTTAAAATTATTTTTTACGTGAATCTAATATGCAGTTGTGTACAGGTAAAGGTAAATATAAGATATAGGTATGATATTATTAATGCGTATAATCTTACCTGATCGAAAAATACGAAGTATGGATGGAATACGCTAACGTTCAATGGAGATTCGTGTGCGATTTTCCGCAGTTCTCTTACCATGTCTTTTTCCATGTTTCCGTCGCTAATATTTACCGCCTGTATCATGAATCGAGAAGCCACGATTTTGGTACCGTCGTCGTTAAACTTAACATCCAACGAGAACGGATTCGGTTTGAACAGCCACAGCTAAAAGCGCGTAAAAGCAAGACGATGCGATATAAGTACCCAAGTCGACTGTTCGAAAC